AGTGCAACCAATAATTTTATTTTCCGCGATAAAGCACGGCACTCGCGTGGCGTCGCCAAAGCGCGAAGGGGAGAGGGGGGGCGGGGGTGAGCGCGAGCCACCACCATGTTGAGGGGTACGGGATTGGGGTGCGACAGGGGCAAGCCGCGTATCTTTAGTAAGTAAACAGAGCGCCTTATGAATTTTAAGCAGCACGACGAAGAGAGAGACCCGGGTCTCTCTCTGCAGCTCGCTTATTTTCATCATCTCTCTTTATCTTCTCTTCGCACGGCTCTTTTTCTCTCTCTCTCTCTCTTTCTCCCTCCTTTCTCTCTCTTTTCGCGATGCCCTCCATATCTCCCGGCACCCTCCGTCGCTCGTTTTCACTCGCTCTTTCTCCTTTGAGGCGACCTCTTATATGCACGAACCGAGACGGTGAAGAAGGGCAACGTAATTTAGAAAAGTAGATGCGCCAAGATTGTGTAAGCGGCGTTCTTTTCCTTCGGCTTGGCGGTCAAAACACGAAGATGATGACATAGGCAACGAGGTCGTTATTCGATGTTACTCGAAAAACGATCTATCGTGAGACTCTCTATTGCACATAAAGAATATTTTTGACAATAATTAGAACACAAGATATTACTATTTCTAACGATCACGTTAATTATTTTCAAAAGTTGTTCAATGGAATTTTATATATTAAAATATGATATATTTATATTTATATATATATATATATAAATTATATTTTATTTTATATATCTCCCTCTTCTACCATTGCATCTTCACTTCTCTGGCAATTCAGCAGATTTCGAGGATTATTCAAACCTATACATGAGAACTTCTCGATCAAGCAGCCCTGCGTGCGAAGGAGAACACTCTGACAGAATTCGTTTGCAGAGACAACGATAATAAAGCCTCGGGATTTGCGTCGTCTCACGATTGTGGGCGGTCACGCCGTTATTTTGATATTGATCTCCGGATAGGACAGCGTCGTCGTCTAAGCATTCTAATGGCAAGGGATCGGGATTCTGCGCGCTGCGAGGCGCACGTGCTTCTAATGATTTTAGTGTACCATGGTATACCCTCTCTGGCAATATATAGGCGGGCCACGTATAGCCACGTATCGTATCCGCGTTACCGGGGCGCGGTGTAATATGTCCCGGAGAAGCCCGAGGGGGTGGGCGACCCAGGGTGGGTGCCTAGGCCGGGAAGAAGGGTGGCAGGGAGGGAGGGTGGCACTCCCCGGAACGGTCTTGCGGGATTCTTAATGGCGAAGGGCCTCCGAGGTAACACTACGGCTATTAAACGCAGACCCTACCACTTCGTCTTCTCTTCCGACACACTCCCTCCCCTCCCCCCCCTCACCGCATGTACCTATCTCTCTTCACCCCTTTCTGTGGAATTCTCGATATAGTTTTAGACCGTGCGACCGAAAATTTCAAAAGGAAATTCGTGTAAGAATCCATGTTGAGAAAGGATTTAATTTCCATAACATTCTTGCGGGAATTAATTAGCTTTGATTGATGTTATTTTATGAGAATTTACAGAATTGCAAAATTAAAAATTATACAGAATTATTTTCACAAGACCTAACTGTTGAGCAATACAAGTACACAGCCATTAATATAAGTGCAAGTTTTGTAAAGCTTTATGGCGAATAATTTTCTCGTTGTGGTTTGAAAATAACAGACAGATTGCACAAAATAGGATTTTAACTACTTTCTAATCAATGAAGCTTGCAAATAAAGGACAAGATTTAAACGTAGCTGGGACAAGTTCGTAAACAAGTTCGCAAGAAATCATTAGAGAAAAAGAAAAGGTCGTGGGCAGTGAGACGAACCTGCAAGTAAAATTACAGTCGCGCGTGAAAGATCGTTCGAGAGGAACTGGATTCGGGAGTGGCGTGGCGCGGCGCGGCGTGGGTCGCTACGGGGGTAAGTAAGGAAAATGTAAGCCCGGATCAACCGCGCTCATCCCCTTTGGCGTCGGCGTTTGACGCGACCGCTGAAATTTTTACTTCGTTCGATTTGGTCTTTCGGTGGAGATTCTCCCCGTCCTCTGATTGGTGGACCCTGGCCACGCCCTGCACGTAAGGGTGACTCGCTCGCCCGAGCACTATCAACCCTTATGTATGCCCGATGCGAGCACACTTACGTGCCGGCACGCGTATACATGTGTGTGCGTTTATTTGCGGATGTATGCGTCCGTACGTGTGCTGTACGTGTATAGGGCCGCAGACTCCGCGGGTACATACGTGAATATACATACGGCCGATACATAGGCATAGGGATGTACATACCGGGTGGGGTTCCGTTCGAGAGACGGCAGTGGGCTTTCGATACGACACGGTCGATCGAACGGCTCGTATTTTCGGTATCGGGGCGTTATCTCTCGGGAAGATAAGCGCGCACCACCACAGGATGCCTGAAAAATATTTCGACACCGTTTACCGGTGTCTGCATGCACTTATGCACGTATGCACGAGTGCATACGGGGAGAACGTCTGAGATAGCGTTACGGAGATTGCCGATAGGACATTGCAGAGAAAAAATTTTGATGCGGAATAGTTATGCCTATGCCTACTTTAGAATTCAAATATGGGATTAATTTTTTTTAAATCCTATATACAGCCTAACAAATTATCTATTTATATTTACATTACGATAATTGACATCAATTTACAATGATTAAGACAGAGGCACACAGAAAGAAAGAGAGAGAAATTCATAAGATATATTAATAAGTCAATGTGAAAAATTAATTTCTAATTTAGTTAAAAAGGAACCAAATTTATCTTGTTATAAATAAATTTAGTTTAATGTACATACTACATCCGCGACATTTCATTTTCTAATCTGTGCAAATAAATGAATAAATCATAATGTCGATAATGTAATCTTCTAAAAATTCGTCTTTACCTAAATTTAAAAAGATGGTGCACAATAGCAATCTATAATGTTCACGTATTATTACAGTGTAAAACTAATGAAAAGATACATATAAAGTATGTTCGTTACACTATAAATAAAGTAATATTTAATCCAGATAAATTCTATTATTTTTATTTTTGGCCATTAAAATAGCTCATGTATATATCACGGGCAATAATTAGCAATGTTAATGTATAAGCAACGAGAATATATTGCGCGGATGCATACACGGTGTTGTATTCGCATATTTCAGGAATAAATTCCACGTACAAGAATGGGAAATCTCAGCGCGCGCGATCTGGATTGCGTGACTTAATTTTCGGATATTCCCGCCCGACGCGACGTCAAGTTTAGCCTCTCCATATTTAATTACGTGGCGTATGCTGTCTCATTCATCGTCGCTACTCCGTATGAATAGCAACCGTATGGCGTGCTTAATATTTATGCAATCCCATGTATTGATTTGTTACAGATCTATTTACATTGCAACATTTCCTAAAATTAGATACGCCGAAATTCTTCATGCATCCTCCTCACCATAATTATTTTAATCGATAAATCTCTAAAGAAAATTGATTCAAATAATAATAATAGCGAATTGTATTATAAATGTAATATTATGATATTTTAATATTTCAAAAGATTCCGTGATGAAAGATTACTAAAACATAATAAGCTGCGTTTATTTGATCCAGCGTGTATATATATATATATTAATAGATAGGTTATATTTTATAGAACATTTTTTTTATACTTTAATTAATATAAGCTGCATGACAAATAATTATGTAATAAATATGCAACATTAAATAAACGATTGCGTAGATACAAAAATCACGATGTTAATTAGAATAAATTCTTTATCTTATTCTAATATGTATGTGTGAATTTTATATACAAGAGCTCTTAATATGCCAAGATATATGCAAATCACTATAATTAAGACTATTAAATAAATTAAATATATTTTAAAAAATTGTGAGATTACTTGCAAAAAATTATTAATTATTGCGGAATAATCTATATTAGAGAAAAGGAGCAAACGTCTCTTTTTAAATTAAGGTGTATAAATAAAATTTATTAGCTTTTGCTATTCTGCTTCTAATTTTTATATTTTTATTATAATTACTCTTAGGTTCTATCTGGCTTCTATTTTTCCTCAAGTATTTAGACTACTGCTAAAAACATTTTATAGGAATGTATACGGAGAAGTACATAGATCATCTAGCTATAATATATAAGTTTGCAATGCTTGAGCTCAGATCTGTGGGTTCGCTAAGGTTAAATAACTGACTATGCGGATCAGTCATTCCTACCTACGGGGTCGCAGAATCCTGGTGGTCACCTCAAGTGCCATCTAGGTCTACAGTCATCATTCGAAACTTTGTAGCGAACAACTTGTCGATACATGATACTTTTGCATGAATTACTATATGATAATAATTAAGTCACAACATAATATCTATCTATATATATAAATATATCATTAAAAATAATCGCTTAGAACATGCGATTTATTATCACTATGTATAGTGATTGAATTCTTTCACTTCTATATACGAAGATATTACGGTGATTCATTGATGCAAAGTAATAAAATGTATTTTTCAAAATCTGAAATAACCTTGTCGATAATTTGCATTTAAGTTTCATACAACGATATAATATAATTCTCATTTTCTCTCTTTCTTTCGCGTTTATAATTTTCTGTATTTCTAAACGGATTTTTATGCGATTTGATGTTAAATTATGTGTGAAAATACATACTTTTGGTTTTTCCAATTAAGAAGAGACTGGAATAAAGCCCTTTTTGACTTCGACCTGGATCGAACATACATATAAATAATGATATACCTCCTTGAGGGTGAATGAGTCACAGCAAAAAAATGCAGTGACTAATCCGCCTGTATTGAGCAACAAGAATGTAATGAGAAGGATTTGATATACCTGCTGTCTGGCGCGCGCGTGAGACGCGGAAGGTCCGCCGTCCGGAGGGTATACGTACAAAAAACGGGCGTCGACATTCCTTTCTTTATTCTCCGACCGAGGCACCTCAGGCGGCTCAGGCTCAGGTCAGTAGTTCGCCCCGAGTGGCGCTCGCATCAGTGCTGTGAAAGCTTCAAAACAAAATCGTGTTTGGTGACGGAGAATTGACGGAGATTTAATCGAATTTTAGACTGAAATGATCGAGGAACACGACGAACGCGAGACGATATGCGATTCAGTGGTAAGTGTCGCGATGCCGCCGTACGGGGAACGCCGGCGGGATCGCCCGGGTGGACGCGCGCGACGCGCGAACCCACGTACGCGATTGACGTTCTAACCTCAATTTTCAGAATTCACTGGTGGAGGGCTGCCGTTTGCCGGTCAGGATGCACGGCACGGACGACTGGCGTAAGTAGATCGCATCCGCGTGTCGTTCCGTTTATCCCGGTGAATATATCGTTACCGAAATGCGCGACTCTCTCTCCGCAAGACACCGAACCGTGATCCATCACAGTGACCATGGTCATGTGGCGAGATCGACTTTGAGCTGCATTGTTGTGGGAGCGTATAAAATAGATATCGTTTCACTGCAAAGTATTTGTAGATACGTTATCGTGAAAACATCCCGATTGTCATTATATACATGTTGATTCTTGTTGAATTGTGAATGATTTTTTTGATATATCGCAGGCTGATTCCGTTTCATGTTTAAGGTTAATATTATACATTATTGTCGTACGACAAATTTTCGAACCGGTTGATTGGCTGTAGGATAGAGAAATTCAAGAATCTCTCTGTCCTGCTGTCAATCAACAGACATGAAATCTTTGTCGTACGACAAATAGCCAGTCAACAAGCTAAAATTTATTGTACGACACATGAAATATATTGGCTTAACACTTAATTTTGAGAATTTCATATATATAATGGTTAAGTTTAAAAATATAAGTCATACTACAATATGATTTTATTATGATTAATGGATAATTTATTAAAAATCATGGCAAAACAATTTAAACAAAATCTTATGTCCTATCTGTAGCACTTGCTGAAATCATCAGCGTTAAGGAAGTACAAGGCATTAAGTGCTATTACGTTCACTATGTGGACTGTAAGTAAAATCTACTGTTTAAGTACGAAAATCACAAGTGTTGATTATTATTATCGAAACTGCGCTATTTCAGTTAACAAACGATTAGATGAATGGGTTATGGAAGATTCCCTGGACACTAGAAAAGTCCAGTATCCTCGTCGTGAAGGAACAACACCGGGGACTGGTGCGGCGACCCCAAAGAAACAGGCCGTTAGTAGACCACCTAGTCCCTGTAGCGTTAGCAATGAGCCAGTTAACGGTAACGCCGTTCTACAAGCGGCGCTGCAAAAGAAAATGTCTAGAAAGAGAAAGGCGACCTTTCTGGAAAACGAGGATTCCCAAGATGCCCCGCCGCAAACGCCCGGTCCCAGACCCACTGGCTCCCTAGTGGCTCATCACCACGACGATGTAGTCACGAGAATGAAAAACGTAGAACTAATTGAATTAGGCCGTCATAGAATAAAACCTTGGTATTTTAGCCCGTATCCGCAAGAGATGGTAAACTTAAGTTGTATATACATCTGCGAGTTCTGCCTAAAGTATAGGAAAAGTCGAAAGTGCTTAGAGAGGCATTTAGCAAAGTGCAATTTACGTCATCCGCCTGGAAACGAAATATATAGGAAGGGACCCACGTCGTTCTTCGAAATTGACGGCCGCAAGAACAAGAATTACGCGCAAAATCTTTGTCTGCTGGCAAAGCTATTCCTAGATCACAAGACCCTTTACTACGACACAGATCCTTTCTTGTTCTACGTAATGACGGATTTCGATAGCAAAGGATTTCACATAGTTGGTTATTTTTCGAAGGAAAAGGAATCGACGGAGGATCACAATGTAGCATGCATTCTTACACTGCCACCATATCAGAGGAAAGGTTACGGTAAACTCCTGATAGAATTTTCGTACGAGCTGTCAAAATTCGAAGGAAAGACCGGCTCCCCCGAAAAACCGCTGTCCGACCTGGGTTTGCTTTCGTATCGAAGTTACTGGGCTCACACGATACTCGACATCCTGCTGACCGTAAAACCCGTGGTAGAGAACGAGAAACCGCAGATAACGATAAGCGAGATCTCCGAATTGACGTCGATCAAGAAAGAGGACGTAATATCGACTCTGCAAAACCTGAATCTCATTAACTATTACAAGGGACAATATATTGTAACATTAAATAGGCAAGTATATTCACAGCCGGAATGAAAAGCCAATTTAGGCTATGAATTTATCCGAAAAATTCGGTAAGACCGTATCAATACTGATACGTAATCTTTATTTGCAGGGAAATTATCGAACAACACACAACTGCGATGGAAAAGCGGCAGAACAGGATAGATCCTAAGTGTCTGCATTGGACACCGAAAGACTGGAGTGTTAGGGCCAAATGGTGAACATAGCTCGAGCTGACAATAAAACGATACTGATTTGTCTTGAAATTATTTTTCAGACATTCTGAAAGCGAGTGCGGTGTTAACAGATGTACAAAAATTGTACATATATATATATATGTTAATTTGCGACCTTGATGGTTTAGCGTTTTAATAAGACTGTATCCGGCGTTACGTACGCTTATTGCAATGCTTTAGGAACTTGTCGACACACGCAGATCTCAGTTATAATAGGGCTAAGATCGTATTGCGCGAGTGCTCGCGAATTTTACCTGACAAAATATATTTGCTGTAACAAACATATATATATACCTTAAAAATGCAATGTTTTAATATGATGATTAGAATTTTTTTAAAGATTCACAAACGGCTGTCATTGTACAGTGGTCAAATTTGTACAGATAACCTATCGCTCTTGTAGAATTGTAAATAAATGTGATTTTATAACATACTTACAATTCTCCCTCATAACTCAAACTCATTTAAATTTTATAGAGGACTGTTTGTATAGATCCAATCAACAGATATTGCTATTTGTAATTCGATTTTTTTTTAGCGTACAAAGATCAGTGAAGATACACCTCATGTGTATATGTAAATATGTACACATCTTTTTTATACGCTGTAATTTATTGTACATTTTCTTGACGTAGTAGAGATGGCTTAGATAGTTACGAATTATTATGAATTATATAAGTACATAACGCATTGATGTATTTATGAATATTCATGCAAGATATAGAGATTGTATAAAACAACTTTATTTTAAAAACTATTTCTACTAAAACTATTCACTTTGAACACATTTTTGGGCGGAAACATTTTTAAATTGGCACAATGTATAAATTAATGTTAAACAAAAGTAAATAATCCGAAATTGTAATAATGAATGTAAATAATCTTCTAAATTCCTTATAATTAAGGTTATTGAATGCCGTCCGGTATTTATTTTTTTTTTCATTAGTGACTATTATGAACCAAAAATTGAATTTTATATGTTTTACAAGTAATGTAGTATTATGAATTTGTAGATCATGAATGCTCTCCGTGTAGATTGATACTGATTTTTGTTCTGTAACAGAGAAACATAGTTACCAGTATAAAATAAATTTCAGCTCAATTTGCCAATCCTTTCTTTTAATAGTGGTATTAATTAGTGGTATTAATTAAAATATTTCACATTAATTGCAAAATTTTATAATTTTAGTATATGTACACTATCGTACATGAAATTTTTTAATAAAAAAATTTTCACGATATTTCTGAATATGGATTTATGAAATTTTACAAAAAAATTAATATAAATTTTATATCAATACACTCGTTTACTTTATTAATAAAGTAAGAACAAAATTTATTTGATTCTTTAATACTCAATCTATATAAAATTAATTATATATTTTTTATTTTAATTTCCTTATTGCTTTATAATTAATTTGTAAATTTTTATAGCGATAAATTTTCTTTTACATGATAATTGATACACTTCTCCAATTTCAATTAAACAAGCTTAAAAATTTATCATGTTTTAATGGATAAAAAAAAGATTACTAAATCTCACATTTGTGTTCTCGATTTCTTCACGATAAATCATGGTGTATGAAATTTTATTTAAAAAATTATTTTTTACGCGAAGTGCATATGATATATAGATACCAAACAAAACGAGAGAAGAAATTCTAATTCTACAAGCACACTTACATTCTATTATGCACTTGACGAGGTTTACACGAACACACATATAGAGAAGATCTAGCACAATACATTTTTATTGCCTATATTACATAATAGATCAGTCCACGTTGTCATCTTTAAAAAATAGTTTGCTCGTACGAATATAAATTACAATTTCACTTTCACAGATTCGCGACAGACTTTGTTTCGTGTGAGCGAGGAGATAAAAGAAAACAATCTTTAGACACGACTTTAAATACAGCATCTTTTATGTATGTGTGTATATATATATGTATATATATATATTTTTTTATATTCAACAGTAACATCACAGTAGCTTCATATACAATAAATCTTTGTTCATAATTTTATCTGTATTCTTTTTGTATTCGTTACCACGTAAGCGCGACACGGCGAGTTCCTAAGATTCATCACGACGACAAGCGGAAGGAAGAAACTCGTGTGCACGCACTTTTCACAATTGTCAGGTCACAGTGATCTCATACCGATATGATCGCATGAAACTGGAAACGCTCTTTGATATTTGACGTAAATTGATATCTGGTAACCCTGTCCGTTACATCGCATTATTAATAACTTGTATCCACGTACACAACAACGTGAGAGTGCGATATATCAGGATAAAAAGAATTGTCGATCGGTTAATACATTGCATCATTGCGAAGCAAGCCGAGATCCGTAAACGATAAATTATTAATACAGCAGAATTAAACGTTTGAATGAACGAAATAATATTTGGGCTGCTTACAAACTGATATCGATGTCACTCGATATTTTCGTATTGAGAGAAATGTATAGTTGCGGGAATCGAGAACCACGATTTTTATTTTTCACACCGCGCAGTGGAAATAATTTGAATAATGTGTATTATTTGTAGAAAATAGATTATTTGTTATTTAATTGTGTTTAGGAATATTTTATATTCTATCATCGCTAAATATCTTACAAAAATCCGAGCGCGCACACACACACTATGGAATTTATAATACTAAAAATTGAAAATATATCGTTACGTTAATCGTGGTTCACGCACAGAATAAGCCGACGAATTCCGGAAGAATACAGTGCCGCGAAGTAAAAAAAAATATATATATATATGGTCGTGGCATCTCGCCGCTGCGTCTGTGCGTGCAATTGAACGGACAATACGTTTCTCCCTTAACAATAACGACAACAACAACAACAACGAGATGAAAATCCAATGGCAGCGGTATAATGTCGAGAAGAACAGCGAGTATTTAACAAGACAAGAATGACAATACGTACACGGCATCACAACAACGGCATTTATAGACTATCGCACAAATAACCAGACGCATACCAGAGAATTCGAGAAGCGCTTAAGATTACGCACAACCCTCGTATATCGCACAAAACGCAGAGATTATCTTTATCGCCAGGCGCACATTGAGCCTTGCGCGACGCAGCAGCACGTTCATACACATTTTTACGGGTTTATCATACTTAATTCCGCAGAATGGCAGAATTTATAATCAATTAACATACTTAATAACCTATTTCGATATTTGGAGTAAGCGAAAATAATGCATTTTTGAAAAAAAAATATTTTAAATAAAGGGATAGAGTTTGAAGAGGGCCATTAGATGAACTATGTAGATTTTGGATCCTTCACTGGTTGGATCGTCCACTGGTCTTGCCTTCATTGGCAATATTTCAAAATAAGAACTTTTGTGCGATTGGAGGGAGTTTAGCAAAAAAACACCGAGAACAAAATTTCTAATAGAATATGAATTTGCAATAAAACATGTTTTTATCGAAAAAAAACCACCCTGTGCCTTGGACCCAAAGTGAATCCCGAAACCAAAATCTAAGTGACTATTTTGATGGCCTTTTTCAAATTTTAGAACTTTTATTTGAAATATTTTTTTTCGAAAATACATTGTTTTCGAGATATTTTGGTATCTAAGTTAAAAATACCAGCGACTTACAATTGTTTAATAAAACCTACAACAGTATTTTGATTCGTATGATTTAGAGTGGATTTTAGTCGCTAAAATTTTTTAATCACTATAAAATATACAACAGAATGTTACTAGTAAAATTTCTATACCTAACACAAGCAGTCGAGAAAGATTAAAGAACTGAGAGAAATCTCCAGTTTTAATCCTTCATCATATACCGCTTATCAAATTATTTTTAAAATAATCTTACCCTCCCTTTGCAGGAGCAAGGCGACACGATTTTTCCCCTTTCGGAAATCCGCCATCCGCCTCAATGTGCGTCTGATATTACGCTTACTTACTCTACTTACTCGCCGGAGTCCGCTCACGTGGCTCACAATATTTCGTTACATTTTGACACGTCTCATTACACTCTTTCTCTCCCTCCCATTCTCTCGCCTTTCTCTACCGTTACGTGTGCACATGTATGCCATGTGTGTGCGCAAGTGTATGTATAATGTATGTGTATATGTGTGTTTACATCTTAATATATATGTATACATACATATATATGTGTGTATATATATATATCTTCTTGTTTGTCCCCTCTTCTCTCTTCATCTGTGAAACAATTTTTTTACATATTTGCGTGAATGTACAGTTGAACAATAGGCGGCAATGGCTGGACAGAATGGCGTTCGATGACGTTTTTTCAAATTTTCTTTTTTTTGGGTGTTCACGAGGGGTGTCGTCGCGCCTCGGCATGGCGCACTACATTCCCCCTCTTTTTTGCTCTTATCTTTCTTGATAACGAGCTACGCCTGGACTGTCGTTGAGTACAGTAAAAAAAGTTTTGTACATTAGTATATTACTCGTGCCGCGACGCGAGAGGAGGAAGAGTAATACACGACAGAGGCGTAAGTTTTGTACTAATTCGTGATATTTTTGTTGAGTTAACTCGGGCGCAGGTTAAAATAACTTTGTGTTTCAAGCAAGCTAGGATAATGGATATCGGTGTAATTTCGGCTGGCTCGATTTTCGATGCTACAGAAATAAACTTCACCACGAGAACATTTTCACGTGTCTATATACGAAATCGTGGATTAAATTATTTAAAACACGATATTACAATGCACATTAAAAATAATCAGTCCTTAAGTATAATATTTGTGTTAATTTTACATATTTAAGTAAATCTCGAATCTTATACGTAATCGTAATTATTACGATGGCCATAACGTGTCTCATAGCGTTACGAAAAATTCTGTCGGCAATCCCGAGTGAACCTGCGCCGAGTTTTACTTCGATAAATATAACAATGAATAATGAGCTTAATGGCGCGTCTCTACATAGATTGGGAGACGTCATAGATACAATGAACAATCGAATACACTTCGATCACACACTAAAACTACGCTTACACACTGACGAAGTAGAATTTCGAGTTTTGTCCGCTTCGCGATCTGTTTTCTATTATTGTGTGGATTTGTTTTTACGGAAATGCTAATTTTTTTTAAAGATCTATTAATACTTAATTCTTCAATCTCCAAGAAAATAATTAATTAAATTAATTAAAAAATAATTATACGTTTGCGATTCATACACTTGTATCTTTTTCTTTTGCGGTAAATATATCTACAAAAAACATTTTTTCGTAAAAAAAAAACGATTTATTTGATTTTAGAAACGAGTATATACGCATTGATACGAAGATAACTGGATTTCGTCGAATGGCGATATTTCAAAACTCTACTTTCGTCCAGCCGCTTGCCGGAACAATAAGACACTTAACAGTTTGGCGCCCTCCGCAGCGGAAGGAGACCGATTTTAATCCTCAACTGCTATAATTATATGTATTTGAATGAAATAACTACTACGATGAGATCAATTTTGAATCCAATAATAAAGTATAATTATTTTTGATTATTATTGATGTTCCTATATCTGATTCTCTTATTATATCCAACAAACAATAAGTCATTAAACATCTTTCTACAGTAACTATTAATAGATATATATAATATATATTACATTTAGCAGATATACATGTGTATAAAACATATTTCTGATGCATTATAAAGCATTGGAAACTGAGAAATCTGTATTGGAAACAGATTTGAACCCATCGTAGCGGTTGAGGATCAACGGCCTTTTACCTTTACGCACATTACACCATAATATTACTTGTTACATATATAATAACACAATATACAGCGGGGAATCGGCGCTTGAAAATATTACGTCGTATCGCGGACGACCAACCGAGATCGTGTAAAAATATTTCCTCCTTTGGAACATCGAAGAAGAGATCGACTTCTGAAAAATATCTTCGGGAAAAGAGAGTGTCGTTCACGGAAATACGTGTTCTGCGTGTGAAATCGCGTGACTTTCTACCCCATTTATTCTCTCTTCGTTTCTCGCTTTTTTTTGATATAATCGTTACTGGAGCGCTGCCGGAACCAGGCTAGTTCGAGGTCTTGTTTGATATTCGCAAAGATTCGTCGAAATCACGAAGTGACTCCAATGAAGAATCCGTCTTCCTTTCGGAAAATCCATTCTTCCACCGGAGAGAAATCGATATGTCTCTTCTCTTCGTAGAACGAAAGAAGATCGAGTGGTTCACGATCGTGATGTGCTAAAAAATTTTGCGGCCACGGATAAATGTTTCTTCCCTAGAAGGGAGGTCATTTTGCTAAACGAAAAAGAGGCCCGCGCGTCGTCGCGTGATAAATTTCTTCTTCGGTCTGCCCTCTCCGTGGATTTTAGAATCTCTGTCTTAGAGTACTTGAAAATATAAAATCTACGATAGAAAACAGAACAGACCTCGAATATATATATAAGTATATATATATGCATATACATATATACATATATATATTTATATATGTATATATGTATATATTTTTTTCTCCCAACATTCAACATCAATTCGCTTGCGCTGTGTTATCATTATTATATTATATCATATACGCCTCAATTTTACTAGCGTCATTATTATTTTTATTATTGTTGTTACTCATCGTTTATCGTTTCATTCTTATATATGTATAACGATACGTATATATATATATATATATATTATATGTATATTTATATATCTCTTTAAGCTTACGTAATAGTAAACCATATTCTTAGGTGTTATTAGTAGCTTTCTTTTATGATACAGATTGTCATGTGTCGGCAATTTATTAAGTGCTGCCGATGCGATACGCGCTCTCGAAAGCCTCTCTGATCGATGATCATTAAAGTGAATTTTTTTTCTTAACGCTTTACGTCGATAACGTTGTCGTATCAGGTAATTAATTTGTTCGTTTTTTCTTTGTCTTCATTTCATCGAAGACAAACAGATGACATCGCCACGCAATAAATATTACTGACCTCATCATTATTCACCTGCTATATTGAAATATAATAGAAGTTTTCCTTAATTAATTACCTTGATCAAAGATTTTATTTCCATTGAATCTTCTCGTTAATAGTATGAAAATTGTGCTTTTTTTCCGCGTTCGCATTATCTGCATCTCATCTCAATCAATACTTTACATTTAATTCTATCAATCATACGTTAGGAATGTATTAATAACAAATTCTGTGAAGATTAATAACGCTTATTTACGAAACTTTAATACGAAAGTGACCGTCACATTGTAACGTATTTCCTGCTTTATTCCCTGCTTGATTGATCAATATAATATGTACTTGCTGCCTTATGACAGCTTGGAAGAGCTTAGGTTATCAAAAATAACGCTTCTTGCAACGAAAGAGAGATATCGAATCACAAAAGTTAATACAAATATTAAATTAAAATAATATAACTTATATAGTAAAAAAAAATATAGGAAAGTTAAACATAAGAATCATTTTTAATGCTGTACATTATTATAGCTATAGTAATACTTTCTACTCTCTCTTTTATAATATTTTACTCCAAAATGGAAGCAAAATTCGTGAACTGGAAATTACGAAATATATGTTATGGAAGCATTATTATAAGATAGTATCTGTATTAAAAAAATCAAAAATATTTATAAAATTTGAAAATTTTTGATAGAAAATTTTATGTCATCTGAAAATAATTCTGCACAGAAATTGCTGCATGTTGAACTTTTATATTAATCAACGTAAGCCAGTATTTTACTAATTCAATTGAAATTTGTCGTATTAAAGTTAAAAGATTCTCGAATGGGAAACTTTCTAATCCTTTAAATAATTTTTTAAAGAAACTTTCAAAAATTCTTTATCAAGTATACATTCATTAATGTCTTTATAGCATTCTTCTCTTCACGGATAAATCACTTTAATAACGAAACAAGTATGGCAGCCTGATACGCCACCAAATGCAATTGAATTATTGTACGAGTATAATAAAGTTCACGCGAACGGAGCCGAGATCATGTCGAAACTTATTATTCATCGAGTGGCTTAGCAACGACCTTGTGTGATATCGGAGAAATCCATCATAATTCGTGTCATGCCCCGCAGTGTAATTATCGACTGCTACATATCGCGGTCGCAGACGGAATGCTCTAATTGCAAATCATCGCCGCGAAAAGATCTCAATTATTCGCGTATAATATCCGATAGCACGACACGGGCGCCGCAATGTTACAACGAGAATAATTTTCTCATCGTCCAGGAGAATTTCATTACTCCTTTATCGATACGTGTTTTTCACGTTTTTCTTGCGGCACCTTTCGCGTGTTGGTTAACTTTCATAGTCCGCAGTCGAAACTTTCTTGATCCTGCAGATTCCTCTGGTACGCCTCCAAGCAGCTGTCGATGTTTCTGTATATGCCCGAATTCGCTTGGTACATCAGAGTCTCCAGGATCCTCTCGTTCTTTATAACTTTCGATGGCAATACGATCTGGAAAGACGAGAAGCAATCCTCTTTGTATTTAGAATAACGAGGAAGGTCATTTATAATATTGTACTTGTTTCACACTAGGAGTAATTGCACCGTATCATTTTTAATTAATTTAAGTTTATGCAATTAAACCTAATCGTTTTTCAATGTCGTCTACATTTTTCTTTTAATATCTACCCTGATTAGTTCCTGGGGTGTTATCTTATGTAACTTGAGGTCCCTGCTGAGCCTGTCCATGATACACTTGAACTCCACCTTGGCGTCGATCTTTGTCGATTTGGTTTTGATTCTGTGCTTCGCCCAGTTCAGCATCGCCTCGAACTTCTTGACCTCCGGCAGTTCGAGGCCGCGGCACATGATCATCTGCACCATCGATTCGCTCAGGGTGACAAAGTCTGGATGGTTGAAGAGCAATTCGGCCCGCGTCTCGATGAACGCGAGGATCATGTTGACCAATTCCGAGGCGGACGTGTAACGCCAGTAGTAATTCTCGAGGGCGCACAGCATCACGCAAACGATCTCGACCCTGAGGAATTGCTTGGCGTGATGGAAGCATGCCTGAAGTAGTTCCGGCAGGTCGTAGTGCTCCGCGGCGCATATCAGACCGGGTATGTTGCTGCACGTCAGCGGACAGGATCCGGTGTGCAGGTAGTCCAGCAGAATTCGGAAGGTCTCCGGATCGAACTCGATGATGTCAAACTGAAAATATTTATTTCTATTAACGGAGAATTAAAATTAAAATGCAACTTCGAGATTTTAAAAATTAGTCAATAATATTTCTTATGTTAGAATACAAATTTAAGCATAATTTCACATGAATTAATAATTGCTGATTATAAAAGTGAAGTAAACACAAATATTAGAACTTAGTTTAAAATAAAATAATGAAGAAATGACAATTAATCTTACAAGATTACCAAATATAGTTGTTTAACATAATTTTAATCTGATTGATAAATCGATAATGGATTTCTCAGGAAATTTAGTTTGCGTTATGAATTTTAATTTTTTTAAAAATCCATAACGCGATAACATGATAACTTTCTAAGAATTGTCCTTCTTTATTTTCTTCAGTACGGAGACACGCGTCATTGACATCTCGCTCACCTCGGTCTGCGCTAGTTTGGCTCTATCTACTTTTTGCGCGTCCGCGCAAACGCTGAGTCGCGGTACTGCCAGCGATTGGGCTGCTTTGTCCTTGTCTTTTGCTTCCTTATCTGTAAAGAATAATGTTTAAATTCTGTCCTTCCACTTAATCGGGAAAAAAAACGCAACATTATCGTACGAATTAACACAACGTTAGAAGATTACTATTTTATTATCCCTCTACGATATATGTATTTACCCATGAGTTTAATTATGCATTATATTTGAACAAAATTAAAAAAGTGATATGAGATAAATTTTGGTCCTTTCTCTCTCGTAAGAGTTTTGAGACACGTACTACTGCAATCCTGCGAGCTGGCCCATCGCTTTCGATCCTCGCTCTGCAGCGTGCTGCCGTGCTTTCTGATGCTCCTTCCCCATCCCGCCGTGATCGTACCCAGTCGCGAGAAGGCCCGTTTCACCATCGGCGACGAAGGAACACTTTTGGGCCTAAACACATCAGAACCAGTATCTCACAGAAACCGCGGAGCGGCACCTCAAGGTATGGAGATAAGATTTACGGGCGTTTCAACGCAGAGAAAAGGATGACTCCGGGTTCAAGGGTGGGAAGGGGAGGACTGCGTATATAATCGGTTGAGACAAATATCAAATTTTGTAAAGTCAAAAACGAAAACGAAAACCAGACAACAATGAAAGCTCTCGGAATTAACAATTCGTACTTGTCAACGTGCGAAGGATCGAAATATGTGCGCATCAATTCATCGAATCCATTACACCAATATAGGAACTTCTTGTCAATTTAGTGAATACAGTTGGTGATTATTACACGAAATTTAGAATATCAAGAGGAAACAACGGTAAACGGTAGTGATACAAAAATTATCGGCGATAATGCCGCAATAAAAGTGGACGAAGGACAACATACTTGATATCAACATTACTAACGAAAACGAATAAAAAAAGGAATATACAGATAATAATATACTTCTTTTTTTTTATAAGGTTATGACAAAAAAGAATTAATTCTTAGAAAAATACTGACGAGCAAACGGCAGACTTCATTCGTAGAATTTTGAACAATAATTGTCGTTTTTTCTTCAGCAAGCGAGGCGAATTCGCCACGTGATTCGTATCATTTGACAGAATATTGCAAGTGCCTCTCAGAGAAGAGCATGCTACATAAAGTCCAATACACGATACATGGTTTGATTAAATTCGCAACTTTTGCATTGTACGGTAATAAATAAAAAAATTACTGATTGTGAGATAAATCATGCGGTGCCATGAGGATAGGAGACATGGATGTGCCGTGAAAAGATACATATATTACGATCAAATAACGATATAAATATATAAAAGAAACATTCGACACATTAAGATTCGCAGGCATTAATCTCACCGTTCAAGCGAAATTTTCAATTTACTCTCATTGGAGAAATCCAATTTTATATCTCACGTATAACATACCGCATAGTCCACATTCTTGCTCGATCTTTGATTGAAACTCCAAATTGAGTCCGTAGCCGTAAGGTTCTAAGCAAACGCTCTCAATTCGCCAATCAATTTCGCAAACACATTTTGCATATTTGTTCAGCATTGATTCTTGATTGTCAATTTTGATTTTCGAGCCTTAGCTTACCAGCTTTTCGTAATGACGCATTCCACTTTAACGAGCGAACTTCGATATATCAACGATTCCGAACTAGATTCATGAGACTAACAGATAAGTAAACGGGCTAACGACAGCATTCATGACTATCAAAACGTACCTAGGGCTCTCCATGTCGGGAACTTGCAGGAAGTTCGAGCTCTTCGGCTTCTGCGGGCTAAGCAACGTCGGCGCCGGTCTTGCGAGCAACTCGGCAACCGGTACCTGTGGGCTACCGAAGCCCGCTTGAATTCCGTATAACATTTCTTGAAATACTCTGTATAAAGACAAAAATAAATGCATATCGGTAAGTTTGTACATTACACTGAACATTAGAACGTAAACGAATTTTTTATGTGCAATTAAGCTTTCATGCTTCCGTCTCGTAGATATAGTCTCTTACATTGTTAATCAACCGGCTATTTAGCGGAATTCACTTATTTATTAAAATTCCTCTTGACTATTTCATGCTTTCATCGATCCGTGAAACATTGAGCTAATTAGAAAATATTTACTTTATTTCAAATTAATAAACCAGAAGAGAGGAACATTTTCGCGACCAATAAATTACTGAAAAACTTTTTACTCTAGACAAATATAATCAAACACAATAAATTTGTTGTACATTAATTTATTTACATTCTTAAAAAAAATTATTATATACATATATATCGTATAAATATCTTAAACTTTATTTTGTTTCATTACGAAACAAGCAAATGCTGATAATTTTTGAAGGAAAGAAAATATTTGTTACCTGCTTCTTACGGCTAGAATCGCCCTAACACCGATGAATCGGACTTTCTGTTTTTGATGTCCCGGCACGAGGAAAGACACGTCGAAAAGACTAGTGTTTAACGTCACGTTCGCTGAATTATTGAGGAACACCCTGGTGAAGTCCTTGGCGAGTTGATCATAATCCTCGAACTGATCTCGCACCGAGTCCAACAGTGGTGAGGACGGTCTCATGTGTCCAATCGGTCGCCAAGAACCTCGTCTAAGAATTAACAATCGTGATGTTAGTGTAATGCAAAATAAAATAAGCATATTTTCAAAAATTGCTCTTTTATATAAATAGCCGTTTTCGAATTATTTAATATTATTTTGTCATGATTGCGTCTCACCTGTACGGTTTTGGAATCTGGCCGGTTTCCGCGTGATTAGCGAGATTCGCCACGATGTCCTCCAACATTTGACTTCTCGTTCGCTCCTGCATCCTCGCGAATTTCGGCGCGGAATAACTCGCCCTCTCGCCGTTCACGATCTTCGTTAATATCCATTCTCGGAACATCGGACCTGTTGCGCCCGGGAATTCAATTCGATAGATAAGTTCAACGTAAGAGGAGATTTTAAACTGATACAATCCCGAGAGATAGCCAGGCAATTTAATCTTACCATTTACATTGTCGTTACTTTTTACGATTAAAAGCTCAGTAATTGTAGCGTAACGTCAAAGTGGAAATTAACAACGTAATATCAAATTTGCTGAATTTTGTCGCAAACCATATAGAGATATTTATAATGAACATTATATTATTATGTAAATTATATAATTATATCGTCATCTGATGCATCCATAATGCTAATGATTGAATAATAAATAAAACAATAACTGCGATATACGATAACTTTTTATAAATTTTACTTTATATCATCGAACGAAATTAATTTCCCTCAGTCAGACTAATTCTTTCACGAAAATGTAATAATACCTTTTTCGAAGACACTTTGTTCCCATAAATACGGTTTGTAGGCCCCAACTTCATCCCTTGTAACTACGGACACTTCGTATTTCGTGATTTTCCGCTTTATCCGTGGACTCACTCGCACCAAGATAAATGTGTGCAAAAAGTGCGACTTGATGCAAGCTGGACTGAAGCTGGTGTTGTCGGCTTCCAAAAATACGACGCACACTATATCGTTGCCAATGTGCCTTTTTCTCTGAAGCTGCGCGAGCAAAGATTTTCGATTAAATTCTTCGTACGGTTTTATCGTTAAAAATTTTCTCTGTGTATAAATAACTCACTTTTTGAGGATCGTGTTTCTCGTAAGGCAATAAGGTGGACACGTGGAACATTATCTCGATGCCCCTCCAGTTGGTGTAGACAGAATATAGGCCCGTCAAATCGTGCACGGTGTCGAGACCACCTTTGTACTTGTCAAATCCCTTCAGCCTGACCTTGTCCCCGAGAATCTGCAGGAATTCCTCGAAGAGCGGCGAGTTGTCGTTGTTATCGAGTATCTCCTCCTCGCTGTACTGACCTTCCTGAACATAAATCATCCCCACCTTCAGCTCGGACTTGATAAAAACTTGATCGAGCTTCAGAAGTTCCTCAGGCGTGTCTGGCAATTGGCCCAAGGTTAACGGCGGATTGATGTTCACCTCCTTGCCGAGACTACGTACCACTTCTTCTCGATTGTATCTGTCAACAAAGAAAATCTGTCATGTCTCGCGTATCCTCGAAAGAAATATTGAGTGTGACATGCATTCAATCGACAATTTTTACTTGTTGAATGTGTTTGACTGCTAGAATAAATTTCCACCACCGTTCTACAAAATTTAAACTAGAATTTTAGCACATAATAATTAACAATGCTTTTCATAATTTTCATTATTTTAGGAATATCTAAAATGTTTGTATTTCGCGTAATAACTTATCTAGTTTTACGAGCGTATAAATTAATCTTCTAAAATTATTCCTAAACCCGATACATTACATGTATGCGAGAATAAAAGATGATTCAGAGGAATTACCGGTCGGCAAAGACGCAGCTGGCGGGGATAAGGCCGTGGACCGTGTAACTGATGGCTCTGACCAAAATCCTGAATTGGTCACGATTGTTGAGCGTCTCCTGCTTGATGCTGAGTATCACCGGTCCCAAATCCTCATCGTTCGTAAAATAGTTCCAGTGCTCCGAGCCGTAGAAATATTTCTCGTATGTCTCCTGCTCGACGGAGGTGAGCTCGAAACCCTGATTCTTTTCCCATTGCTCCTCGATGGTGGTCTTCTTCCGCGGCGGATCGTCCGTGTCGCCTTCATTCTCCGCTTCGAACAGACAGGAGGTCTTGTCCTGCCGCTTCAGTATCGACGGACGCTCCTGATCCGCGCTCTGTCCTTCCACCTGTTCGGGATCGGTAGCCTCGTGTTCGCTCTCTGTTTCGTCCCAGATCGTGTCCGACGTAATCTGAGGCCGCGAGCATTCGATCCAGTAGCCGGGTGTTGGTATCAGGTTGTGCGGGAACTCTTGACAGAACTCGTCTACGAGGGAAAATTTATTTTCAACCATTCCTTAATTCACTCATTATGAATGTTGTTCTCTTATAGAAGGAGTAGTGGACGAGCAAAATATGTAAATCGATCTCTAGAAAAAATACGAGTAAGAGTAAATTTTTAAAAGAAGGATACAGGATCTCTATGTGATAAGCCGTACCTGCCGGAATTCTGTGAGCTATTTCAATTGTGCCTTTGAAAAGTGGAAGCTTTGTAGATCAAGCGAGAGAAATCGTTAAAGAATATAATCACTGGGTAATATCATAGCGTAAAAGTTATTACATTGTCGTGGTACACGTTGTACGTAAATGCAATAATCCTCAACGTTTTCATCATAAAGCGCGCGGACGTCAATTGGGCAATTTCGCTCAAAGCGAGATTAACGTTAATTAAACCCGTTCGACTAGCGCTCTTCTCGACGGAGCAAATTGGTGGCCAATGACGCCGATGGTGTCTTTGTTCTTCGTAGATACGAAAAGGATCGGTCGGATCATCCTCGAAGCGAAAGGGGGTTTGTTCAGAAATTAGTGCAACAAGAAAGCGAGAGAGAGAAAGAGAGAGAGGGAAAGAGAGAGAGAAAATGAAAAAGATGGAGAACGAGAGAAATGGAAAACGAGAGAGTCGGACAGAGCAAATAGTATCCAAAGACAAGCACTCTGTCTGTGAAAATCATTAAGAGAGGAATCCGATCTGACAAAATAGTGCCTCGAGGACGAATTGACCGTATCGCGGTAGAACCCAGTTGCGGAGAATCTCGAAGAGATTTTCCTTCTCCACAACGCCGCCGACTCACTCACGTCCACTTAAGTACATATCTCCGGTAATATGTTTTCTTCTTCTCCTTCCTCGCGTCCTTGCCTCGTTTTATCAATCTTCGTCCTCCTTTCTGCACGCTGCTCCCTCCTGCGCGGCTGTCGACGATACCGCAGTCGATTCACTGTAAGGTAGAACACCAAGCTGTTTGCAAACAGGGCTTGGTATTCGAACTTAGAGTGAGCCGCCCGCGGTGCCCTCCTCTTCTCCGCTGCTGCAAATCGACCTAATTGCCGGGCTCTTTGTTCGCATATAATGGCCATCCATATCTCACTGGAAACCCGAATTTCGACACGGTGCCGTTGGCTATGCCGTTACCTCGACCTCCTTCGGGAATCAATCGTAAAGCAAAAGCAACCGCACATCAAAGGAATAGATAATTCCTTAGAGGATAAGTGTTTCAATAAGTAAATATCGCCTAATATACATACGTATAACATAAGATAAATATTTAATTTTATGTTTAATAATAATGATTTTTATAAATTTCATTACATTTCGCCTTTGTGATTTTTGCTTTTATACTTTTTGACACGTTTAAAAGTATAAAGACGCAAAATGTATAAAATTTGCAAAAATTAATTATAAAGTATTATTAGGTATAAACCCGATGACCTAGCATATTTATTTATCCTAGGATAAATGTTGTAACCACGACAATAGAAGTTTATATGTACGAAGGTGATTTTAATAATCGCAAACTAATACCTTACATCAACGCTTGCAATCTAATTAGTTTTCATATTATCTAGTACACGCGATGATTTCATTCGACGCGTTAAACACGACGACTGTTATTTCCTCTTTTACGAGTATTCCTCGATTTTTCCGGTTCACCATATTTTTACCGTGAGACTTACATTCGATTATTCGAATCTGATGTGACAAAATAACTTCGCTCATATAATCGTGCGTAATCCAAGACAGGCGGAACCACCTGTAGCTTCATCTCATACATATGCACTCTTCCAAAAGTCGGTGGCACCAAGCCCGCTCGCGAAAATGCGCGACGATAAGAGAGAGAGAGAGGAAGAAAGAGCCTTTTCGACGGCGACGTTGAAAGCACTTACCGGAGCACGCCTGAGGTGGCAACGGAAAGATCAGGGTGGTCGAGGACTTTCTTCTCGCAACTGCACAGCCTAAACTTTGTGGTTTGAAGCTGCGCAACTGCTGCATGAAGTCCGAGCACTCCATCAGCGCCACGTCGGCAAAGTGCAGATCGCAAAGTATCTGGTTCTTGAATCTGAAATGCAGAACAATCCTCATAATCATTCGTCGAAAACGACCGGCACTTTATGCCGCTTCTCATCCAAGAATTATATTGTAAAGGGAGTCGTCTACGGAGTCGCGTTTGCAGCATCAGAGTGAATGGCAATGAAATGATATTTGTTTTCTTGGCATAAATCACAGAAAATATAAATTTAAATAAAATGCAATAGAAATGCAATAAAAAAGAATTTTATGATGAGAGGTATGTTAAATTTGATCTTGTCGAGCGTGAAAAAACAGTCGAATCAATATTTGCAGTAAAAGCTCAACGTATTGATTATGAAAAAAAAAAAATTGAGTAGAGGGCTCTCTGATTATATTAGGAGACAAAAAAAATCTCTCCGATTGACGCATTTCAAAGTGATAAAACTCGCGAACTCGAACGAGTCTTATCACGGATGAAAACAATCAAGAGGAACGAAGTTTCATGAGAGTTCAGATCGCTCGATAAAACGTGAATCCGTCGTGGCGTCCCGGCGGCGGCTGTTATTGGAACACGTCGCTCCCTTATCTCCTTTATCGTTCGCTTTTATCGTGCGGATTTACGCGATACCAATTAAAATCGTGGACTATGCCGAGATTCGCTAGAAACTGTGATAATCCATAAAAGAACACGTTTAATCTCTTTGCAATTTATTTAATTTCCGGGATGTATCATTAAATTCCGGAGAATATTGTACTCTTAATTGTATTTGTTTTAAATCATAATATTTATAAAATGAATATTATAATAATAAATATGAAATTAATACTGCATAATAAATATTGCAGCAGTAAATTATATTTTGCATAAAATTTATAAATAAACGATAATATTAATTTACTTCCAATTTATATATACATATAGAAGCACTTGCAACTAAATTTTCCAATGCGCTCTTATAGTTGTAAATATTCTCGTTAATATTCGTCAATATTTTGGATTGTATTCGATATAACAGCGATCGAGACTGCCACGGACACAAATCATAGAAAACGTTATTTCCTAAGCTTCATATGACGTTTCTATTTATATTTCCCGTGCGGCGACAGGCGGCGGCCTCATAATAGTGACGCATTAGCGACTTGCGTAAAGGTTGTAAAACGGCCGGTATAATCGCATAACGTTACATTAAAATGTCCATTCCAATTCGGCCTGCAACTGACAGGATTCCGCGCGTTATTTCCATCATGGCCCGGCGGTCCGCGCGACGGAATAATAAAAATATTTTTCGATAATCTCCCTCGCGCTCTCTCGGCGGAGAAAGCTTGTCGAGGGATGACATTATGACGCACTGTGACGCGGCGTTTTCAACGCGGCGGCTCGGCGATAATGCCCGTCGTAACGTTCGTTGAATCGCAAATGGTCTTCTGAATTGGCGACCCGATATGGAAGGATATCGCACCATCCTTTTATCCACGGCAGGCCCATGTTAAAATCGCCGATTGAACTCCCACGTAGCACGCGACTCTCGCGATCGAACGTCGTGGATGGGATGGCTTTCCGATCGACTGAGCCCCGCGATGATTCCCCATATATGTGCGACGTAAACGTTCTCGAATGAGAAACGCGATAGATAGCGCGGGCATTCATTTCGAGGCCGAAATCTCTCATCGGCCATGTAAATTCGATCGGACGCACGAGCGTGCGAAAGTGCGATATTTTTCGCGCGGAGGCGGCATTCCGGCCGGTCGAGCAGCTTTCGCGTTCGACTCTTGACAAAACCCGGGGATGATTTTTCGTGAGGAGCACGTCGCAATTTCTCGCCCGCGTCCGATCAAATTAATCGGACGATCGAATTCGCCGGCGACGAAATGCTTGATTTCGCGTTTTGTCCTTCGATTGTCCGCCGTGTTTAGCGAAAACGTGCGGAATTTTTGCATATAGGTACGTCGGGAAAGTAGTGAAAAGTCAGATGGCAACGTAGACGCGCATGTACGGCGAAAAAAGCGCCTTCCTCTGTCGCGATCTATTGACGCCTTTCTCGCACTGGCGAACAAAGTGTTAAATCGCGAACGGAATCTCTGTTTGCATGGCGATGCATTACAAAAGCGCAGCTGCGCGGCTAACTCCTCGGTTGACTGAGTTTCTCGCGCTATACAAAGGATGTGTACGTGTTACAAATATGAGTCGTCCTCATACTTTATTTCGTCTGCGGACTGCGCAAATTGGTAACAGAATTATACAATACATTTTTTTAAATGGAAGAAATACGCTGCATTATATTTGCATGATGGGATGACGAATAAATCGTTAATAACGGAGTTTTCATTCGTCTTATTTCAAAAAAGTAGATCAAACAGGTATATTTATTTATCGATTGTGCGTTACTTCGCCCGTCTGATGAGATACAGATCAAACAGTATTTCGCGTCTATTCCATCATGTATATCTCGTGTATTCGCATACTCAATCTCCAGGACTGAAATATCTTGAGAGAATTCAGCATCATGGGACTGCCGTGTCAAGGATCTCACTTCATAAGCGTCGGCTTGGTTTTTAAAATATGAAAAAGGAGCTGAGAGAGAGAGAAAGAGAGAGAGAAAGCGAGTATAATGGCACCGGGCAAATAACATGGACATAATCCTGTTGAATATCATATGGTTATTTACGTTCTCCCCTCCGGGCAAACAGTGTTAAATTGTGAATAAAAATTATTTTTACGCGCAACATTTCGCGTTGCCAATATTATACCGCCGCCAATAATAAAACTCCGCTTGATTGTATGATTTACCGTTATTCTAAATAATAGCACTTTCAGATACAAAATGTAAAGCATATATTCATCCACCGGACGTTCATTTTGTACGCGGCTGAACGCAGATTGCGTGAAATCAGGCCGGGGATAATAAAAAATAATAAATCGACGAGCAAAATAATAAATGATAACCCGAATGATGAAATTGCAATTTGTGACTAAGCATTTTTCGGGCAATTTCCGAGGCATGCATTACCTTTCTGCACACTGCGAGGCAGCACAAAGTCATGGATAATGCAAATACAATGAGCAATGCAAAAAAAAAAAATAACGAAACCTGACGAAATTCGAGATGTTCGAGAAAAAGTGTATCTCAAGATTTTTTATATTAACATTCTTTTAAGATAAACGATGTTCAATAGATGAAATTGTTACAGTCACGTTGAAAGTTCTCGACGAAATGGAAGTGCAATAAAAACGATATGATAATAAAAGGACAAGAGAGGCGTGCCCCGCTAATATGGCACGGGCTTACGACAATACTGATCAAAGATAATATCGTTTTACGAGTTCGCCGGAAGCGTAAACCGCAACCGAGAGTGCGATTGTATCTTACTCACCGTCTCGCCCGCTTTTGATTGGGTCCCGTGAGATTCAGGCCGCAGCTGTTACATTTTAGGCACTCCTCGTGGTAGTGGTTGTTGTCGTACAACGGCGACGGTTCTTGAAACAATAAGCGCAGAGATAGAGCTCAATCTCTAAAGGATCGTCGCATAATAATATGTATATGGCAAATGCTCGCGGCGATAAATGCCAAAATAAGAAGAAAAAAGCTTTCATCTTTAAAAGGATTTAATTAGAATTAATAAATCAACTCTTTATGATAGAGTTACTCGGAGTGTCCGCCACGAGATAGATCCCTGGTATCCGCGTCAAAAAAATTCCGAGTCACATTTGTACTGACAGAGAACTGTGCAGATATCTATATCGTAAATAAATCATTTTTGCAGCAATTAAAAAGATAAACGTTTCCCTCTGTGTTCACGCGGATTTTTTTGCCCCCTCTCGCCTTTCGCATCTCCCTCATTCTACAATCGCGTCTCCCACGCGTCGCGTATAATACCCACTTTCTCATTATCGCCATTAAAACCTCCAGCGGCTGTTCGGGAGAGAACTTGCGCATCATCCCGTTCCATTTACACTATTTTTCTACCTCCGCCCGTTTCCTCGACATTCACCCCTCCTCCCTCCCCGCTGCCCCCTTCTGTCTCGTTCTCGTGTCCTTAACTACTCTTCCGCGAGGTCGTGTCGAGCTTAAGCTCGGGGTGTGGTCGGCGCTCTCGTGACACCACACCACCGCCACCGGCACATCGGAGGCCGTAAAGAATTCCAGCGCATGCCGGGCATGGAATTTTGATATCGAGAGGAAAGCGGGCGTCACGGCGCCACGGCCGGTCTCGCCAGGAAGCAGGACGGCGCGACGGCGGCGAGCCGTTCGTGATCGCCGCGATATGTACTAATTGCACGCATGCACGCACGCACGTGCGTCAATGGTGACCCATACATGCGTGATCTGTTCCGTGACTGCAGAATTAATGGAGTTGTTCCAGGTTTAGAAATATACCTGGCGAAAACGTGGAACCCATTCTTAATTCTGTACTTGGCAAAACTACGGACGTGATCTTAAGATTATACAGCGTAATAAAAAAGAATTATGATGAAGTATGGAGGAAATGTGATGAGAAAATTTAAAAGTTCTTTTTTCTTCCTTCAATATTACATTATCTAAAGTAAATTCTTGTAAAACAAAATATTGATAATGCACAATTAAGTAATTAATGTATAAATATTAATTAATGAAAGTATAGATGCAGAATGACGCGATTTTCGGAGAATTTACGATAGAGAGAAAGATTATGTAAATATTCAAGTATAATATTTTTTAATTCAAAATTGTTCAAAGTTGTTTAAAGAAATCAATTCAAAAGCTATAGTGGAAAGTCAGAGAATGCTGTATATATATACGTGGCAGCACCCTCTCCGTAGCAACGCACGAAGCATAGATATGTCGACTTGGGTCTCGTTGTTTAACTTGAGTTGTTAGAAAGTTATATATAATGTGATTATGATTACGTTTTAACAACGGTAATGTATATCTTGAATAGAAACGGCGAACTTGCTTCCGGTAATTGAAATTTGATGAGTTAAAATTGTAATGATGGCTTCCTACATACACAAGATGTTTGTTTTAAATTAAACAAAAAGCTCAGATATATATATGTATTAAAATTCATATTTTATGTAATTTTAATTGGAACAATGTTTTACCCAATTTGAAATGTAATAATAACGTAATATAATAATATTCTATAAATATAATAATATTATTACTGAAATAGAAGTAATTGCTCGTTTCTAAAATTTGTAAAATATTACTATTTTACTGCAAGTAGATAAATATAATTATACGATATAATTATAAATGTAATTTTCATTTGCAAGTATATTTTAAGAACGACAATTTTGCAGTCTAATGTTTGATTTTTAATTTTAATTATTTTTTAATTGAGATAACTACGTAAAGATAAGTATGAAAATAATTTCGTCAGACTTCTACAAAATAAATTTATAAAATTGACTTTATTTTGAGAACTATTTCCAATGTATTTCGAACGAAACAGAGAATCGTAACGAATACGTTTATTAATATTTACGTGCCGTCGAGAGGAGTTTAGAAGGCGCCGATGAATCTGAAATATAAAACAGCTACGTCGCGGCAATCTCGTTACAAGTTTTCACGGACTGCAATGTATTTCGTGCAAGATATCCAGATGACGGGCGAAATTATTCGTGTCGCAACTGTGGCACGTGATTTGATATGAGATTACATTGGATGGTATGTCGCTTCAAACGACGCTTTATATTCTTTTCACTCTCGATTTACGCCATTTAATGTAACCACTATCTAATGTACCTTACACTGCGAGCCTCATATACTTTAAGTTTCTCTCCTTCTCACCGATGCATTTTAGGGATCAAAATAAGCCCTACGCTCCACATAATTTTTTTATTGTAAATCAAATTTAGCTATCAATCACCGTTATTAAACGTATTATTAAACGTATAATGAGCATAAAACTTTAATACACTTTTTCGTGTTCTAATATCATTGAAAAGTACTTTATATCCCACATGGATTTTTGGCGGAAGTAAAAATTGAAAATTTTGAAAGATAAAGCGATGGAATAAATTAAAAAAAAAAAAAAAAGAAAAACCGCGGAGCAAAAATGCCCGCATTATAACGCGGATCGACGAAATAAAATAGATCCGCAAACGAAACTGCAGGAAATGTCGATTAATCCGCATTTTACATGTGGCGATATATATTTCAACACCCCCATCGCGGTAGCGGCGGTGTGTACAAACCTCTTTAGGTTTTGTTTTTTTATCTCGAAACGCGGCGTGATGCAAATCTCGTCTAAAATATGCAAGAGCTGGGTCAAATTCTAACGAGCGTCTACCAACGTGATAAAACATGCGCTTTACCGCGATCTGAAGCAAAGATTCCGGGAGAAAAAAAAAGATAGGAAGGGAGTCTCCTGCGCTACTCTACACGTTCCGCGACGACCTTTTTAATCCATTGTCCACTACGATTATGCTATATTCGAGATAACCGTGTTCTTATTTATACATCCATTACGCGACAAAATAGAGTATCAGAAAGTGTCGAGTAGCATGGAACGTATAATCAACTCTTTGCAGAAAAAAAAAAAGAGTTGCAATATCTCTCCCTCTACTTTCAATCGCGATATACTGACGAGATACGTTCGATAGTTGGAAGGTGTTGTGCGGCAAAGTAAATAAGAATGATGGCGTTAGAGGCGCGAATAAAATAGAAACTTCAGTGTAACCACCGTGCCGGAAGTATTTGAAAATATTACTTTGGAGTTTCGCGTGTTCGTTATTCCAGCCAGGTTTTAGTAACGAAGGGAACTAATAGCGTGCACGCACGAACGCGGTGATATTGACGCAGCCTTTATCAGTACTTTAACACGTTAGCGGCGGACTCGACCAGGTCGGAGCTTCGAATTTTCGAAGCTCGTTCCATTCAATGAGAGACCCTATAGCTTTTTAGATAGCGTGTGTTTCATTTCTATTTGTTATTTGTTTTTCAAATTACACCTGAAAATAAGTGAAATTAACAAAAAAGAATACTAGACATCCGAATAAAACTTTTACTCCTGCATAAAACATTTTAATCTCATTTGATTCCGTCGCTTTTTTTTTTACTCACGATGAAATAGGTGGTTGTAACACATTTTTAGTCCGCATGAGAATGAGGATACGGCAAAGGAACAAAGTAATTTAACCTGATTTATTTGAAACGAAATTAAAAAAGGAACTCCGGAACCGATTTTTTTTTCTTTTTTAAAGAAACATTCACTGCATTTTGGATCGAATTTTTATCACAATCTCATAATTCCTTTACGATGGACTCCCGTCGGGACAATCTTTCGTGTTATCTCACGACTACCAATGGGAACTTTTGTGTGAGCGTTAGATTGCATCTCTCTCGCCACTCTCCTAATTAATTAATTCCTCGTTGTCGTCCTGTTACTCCCGTTTCCGCCGGCAAATGCAATCTCATGCGGCGCCCTTCATAAAGCATCCGCCGCAAATAAAATTTGCGCGAGCGTTTATTCCTAAGAAAAACAAAGTGCACGAGCATGTAATATCAGAGAGACGCGCGCTGTCGCTCACGCGCTAGGTCCCCGCCGCTTTTATTGACCCTCTTTACCACGTGCTTAGATCAGATGGTTTATCCGCCGACGTTAATTTACAGCGTCTCTGGGCTCGGTCGCCGGTTAATGAGAAAATAAAACTCGTCACGTTCGACGCTACAAGGAAGCCGGATTTGACGCAAGCTCGACGAGAGCGAGTCTCGTTGACACGTCGGAAGTGACTCGCTTAATTCGCACGTAAAACGCAATTACACGCACGTGCCGAGTGCGTAATGCAATTGTATCTGATAGTTCCGGAAGATGACGCCTTTAGGCAATGACGTTCGCTGTGACAACCGGAAAAGATCTCAAAGCGAATATGTACTCTTTTTGCGTTAACCCAATATTAATTTTATTATTAAATATTATTATATTTGTTAAATTAAAACGAGGGAAAAACCTCGCGGGTAAAACTGACGGTAGAACTAATTATTTCGGGCAATTGTCTCTCTCTCTCTCTCTCTCTCTCTGTGTGTGTGTGTGTGTGTGTTTCTGTATGTGTATGTTATGTGAGCTCGTCGTTGCTATGTTATCATGCCAGTATTCGACATTTTAATAATAGCATTTAGACACATAATTAATGAGAGCTATATATAACCGCGGTTAACATGCTTTAACCTTTACCACACCAGGATATTCAATTAGAATCGAATATACAGGAATGTATCAGCTTTCTCGAGTGTTTTTTTTTAATTCTATATTTAGATGGTGTAATCAATTAGGCGTCGATCTTTGTCTATACCGAAAATGTCAAGATATTGATATACACCATATTATAAGAAATTGAAATTTAAAGACATTATGTAGAAAACATATTTTACGTATTATGTAAATGAATTCTCATTACAAAAAGATTTCAGTTTATAGTTAACTTAAAATATTTTCAGATTATTTCTTAGAACAGATATGAAAAACAGTACGTGTAAACTGTAATAAATACCA